ACTGAGTATTTTTAGCATAGTGGGGTGTCCTACTGCAGCTTCTGAAAAACAGTGGGTCATTGTCCTTTTGCTTGGCTGGCGGGTGGAGAGCTTTTTTTGAAGTATGATGCACAAATCATGAGTTTAGATTGACTAATTTTCTCAAAAGTGAGCACACTGTCAACCAACAGATCAAAAAAACTGAAAATTGCCAGCCCCCTTGAAGCCTTCCTCATCCTTCCCCCCACAAGTATAAACAATCATGCCTTCTAACAGCAGTAATTAGTTTGCCATTCATTTTAACGTTCTCATTTGCCCAGGTTGTTGAGCCTATGGAGGCTCCGTAGTACTTCTGCCAAGTCCTGCTTACAGGGAAAGTAATTTGTTGCCCAAGGCCCTAATAGTTTGCGATGCTCTCTGAAGTGCCTGCCAGTGTTGCCTTACCAAAGGATTCCCAATCATGCTTAAAGGCTTAGTCACTGCTGTGGTAGAGGAGCCCTAGTGCGGTTATGCTGTCCCTGCTCGCCTTTTCCTGTCCAGCCCCAGTTGTGCTGATTGACTGCTCCGGATCCTGTTTCCATGGTTTCTCAGTATTGCTTCCTCCTGCCTCTCTCCTCCGTAGTTCCCCAAGCTGGTGTCCAGGCTGCATGGCCAAATTTTCCCAACACAAGGCTTGGACTTCAGTCTTTTTCTCTCAAAAATCATTTTAGTTGTCTCTGCAGGACAGAGCTTGCTGATTAGTTTTTAGTGTCTTGGGTCAAAATAGATTTAGTGTTTCAACCTCTATATTTTGTGGCTAAATTGATATTTATTTTGTGACAGGGATAAAAATTGTCCTAAATTTATGAAATTAGCCATAAATTGAAGCTAAAAGCAATGGGATGATGAATACGTCACAGTATACATTTAGTTGCACAATGATGGTAACAAAAAATGTGTAGATTTGGAAACTTTAATAAAACTTTTTGGTATAACTAATTTCTACTGTTTTAATAATAATGCAGGACAGATCCAGTTTTTCCCAGATAGGGTATTTCATACATATCTGTCTTTTTCTTCTGTGCAGACATAGAACAAGCTTGTTTTCTTTTTATTCCTACCCTGAAGTTATGTAGCAAAATTCTTTCTATATATATCTGTTTATTCTTTTGATTTGTAATTCTGTTCACCTGGTTTTGGTCTGGATATTTAGGAGAGCCCTAGTCTGGACCAAGTGTGAATTCATGCCATTTAGACTGTCACTGCCTTATGCTGTGCTGCCTCAGAAATGTTAAGTATCAGTTGGTATTTGGAAGGGAATGTTTTTGTTCAGGTCTCTGCCTGCTAGTGGGTGCCTGTTTGGCAAGGGAGTGCAGGAAGCCTTTGAGAGGGACAGAGTCTCCACCAATGGAAGAAAAATCCTTCCTATTCATTCAACAAATGAGTACCTACTATGTGCCAGGCACTATTGTAGAAGCTTGGGGTCATCAGTGAACAAAACACTGTCCTTGCGCAGCTTATATTCTTGCAGATGTGACAGACAAGTAAAGGAGACAGGGGAGTGTTGGGAGTGGGTTGTACTTTTAAAAAAGGTTCTAGATTGGCCTCAGGCAGGGTGACAGGTGAGCTGAAACAGGGGGTCAGCCTTGAGTCTTTCTGGGGGAGGAGCATTCCAGTAGAGGAAGCACGGAGTGCAAAAGCTCTAAGGCAGGAATGTGCCTGATCCATTGAGGACCAGCAAAGAGGCCCCAGGGTGGCTGGCACCCATGAAAGGAGTGGAGATAGGGCAGGAGATGAGTCTGAGTGATGAGGGGTAGTAGGGCCCTTTTGTAGGGTTTCACTCTGTACAAGAAGTTTAAGGAGAAGGGATGTGATCTGACTGAGTCTAGAAGGATTACTGTTTGCTGGGTTGCTGTAAACAAAATAGCCTGGGAGGCAAGGGCTGAAGCTAGGAGGTTAGGAAGGGAGACTGCTGAGAGAGTCTAGGGAGGCAGCTTGGATGTGGGGAGGTGCCTAGGTAGAGATGGAGAGGACAGGCAGGTTCTGGATATATTTTGAAGGCAGATTTGAAAGGGTTTGTTAGTTGATTGAATGTAGGGTATGAATTATGTGGCCATCGAGGGTTTTGGTCCAAGCAACTGAATAATGAAGTAACCACACACTGAGAAGGCCAAGGGGCAGGTTTTGTAGATGAAAAGTTAGAGCCTAGCTTTGAGATATTACGTTTAGGATGTTCAGAGATTCAACCTTTATTTTACCATTGTCAGAACAATTCTATATCATTAACTCAACATCTTTATTGGACCATGTTAAAGTAAATGACTTTGATTTTGGATTTATTACTTATACTCAGATTTATTGCTCAAAATCTTTGGAGTGGGCTGGTCATTTGAGAAGTTGAGCATTTCCTTTGTCTGACATAGGAATGAAATATTAGATGTATTTCTTTCTTTCTTCCTTTATCTTTCTTTGTCTTCTTTTTTAATCATAGAAAAATTTTGTTTGATTCAGTTCTTTGGGATTTCCAGAGTTTTCCTTCAGAAAGAAAAAAGTATTTTCTTTTCCTTGACTCCATTAGAAAAGTTATTTTTATCTTAGAGTAAAAATAATGGGCAGGGTGGGCATGGGGTTCCAGAGAAAGCAATGCTTTTCTTTTCTTTCCCTTTCTTGCAAATGACCATGGTATTTTGTAATTAGTGGAATGTCATTGGCCTTAAACATTCCTGGGAAAACACATTTCTCCATCAGGTTGAAGCACTTTAAAAATTCCCCTCTCTTCCTAATTCTTCTGTTTCTTCCTCTCTTCCTAAGGATAACTTCCTAATTCTGCCATCCCCATTTTCTCACAAATAAAGATAGAAAGTTACAGCCTGAATATATTGGGTCAAAAAATTACAATAATTATTTAGAAACTTGAGGTTATGAGTTACTGTGTACATGAATTTTTGTTGAAGATTAAAGTCGGTTTGGAACTTCATAAAGAATACCAAAGTATCTTTATGTTTACTCCAGCTGAGTTACTTTTTGTTTTAACCTTGTGCCCTTGCCTTTAAAGTTAATGTTCTTTAATGCTCATTTTTAAAACTTCTTCTTCTCCTGCTGTGGATTTATGGCAGTAACAGTGTCCTTTTAATAGTAACCTGTGCTTCATAGCTAAGATATAATTATATATTACATTAATGTTGTAACTACAATTCTAAACCAGTGGCATTTCACATGTGCAAAAGAAGCTGTGGGTTTAAAGGAAGAAAAGTATCTACAGGGATGGTGGTTCACGCTTGTAATCCCAGCACTTTGGGAGGCTATGGTGGATGGGCGGCCAGGAATTCAATACCAGCCTGGCCAACATGGCGAAACCCTCTCTCTACTGAAAATATTAAAAAGCTGGTAATGTCACCCCAGCTGGGTGTGGTGGCGCACAAACACCTGTAATCCCAGCTACTCGGGAGGCTGAGGCATGAGAAACCCTTGAACCGGGGAGGCAGAGGTTGCTGCGAGTCAAGATTGCACTACTGTATTACAGCCTGGTAACAGAGCGAGACTCTCTCCAAAAAAAATAAATAAAAACAGCTATTGTACAAGTAATTTTTTTTTAACAAAAAGTTTTCTTCTAAACTTTTTAGCAATGTAAATCTTCTTTTTCTCTTTTTCTTCTTTTTTTTTTGAGACAGGGTCTCGCTCTGTCACCCGGGCTGGAATGCAGTGGCATGATCTTGGCTCACTGCAACCTTCTGCTTCCTGGGTTCAAGTGATTCTCCTGCCTCAGCCTCCCTAGTAGCTGGGTTTACAGATGCATGCCACCACACTCAGCTAATTTTTGTATTTTTAGTAGAGACGGGGTTTTGCCATGTTGGCCAGGCTGGTCTCAAACTCCTGACATCAGGCGATCTGCCCACCTTGGCCTCCCAAGAGTGCTGGGATTACAGGCATGATCCACCATGCCCAGCCAATTTTCTTACCATAGTGATACTTTTAAATCTTCTGTTGATTTAATTAGTGGTAGGAATTAAAAACATTCTCTTGGTCAAGAACCTATACAAGAATAGTACAGTATATATTCTGTACTATTCTTATATGTAAGATTCACAAATGTACACTATCAAGTATCAACACTCTTCATAGGGCTTTTCTAGATCAGTTGTTGGCGAATCAGTTGTTGTGGTCTTGCTAATATTCACAGTCTAGAAGTCAGATACCATTTATATGAGTATAATTAGTAGTAACGGCATTTCTAAAAGTAGTAGGTGCAGTAACAAATCTAATGTTCTGAATGTCTCAAATAACAAGGAGGCACAGGTCTGTGCTCTCAGTAACTTTGTAAGATAAAGAATGTGTGAATGGAGACCTGGACATGAGTATTTAAAAAAAAAAATGAATTTCTATGCTAGTGAAGGAGCAGGTGTGTTAGAGTAACAGTAGAGGAGAGAGGGAGAGTTAGTGGTGGTTAGTCCGAAGAATGCCTATGTTTTCCCGGTCTTGGTTCAACCAAATCACAATAGGGAGTATTCTCGGCATGTAACTCAGCCTCTGTGGACTGGAATTGGTTCTTTTTCTACCCAGGAGCCTCACAGAGTCATTGTGAGGATTATTTGAGATAAGGTCTTGTACGTAGTCTGGTGCTTTTGGGGTGATAGTGTTTTTCTAAGATGGGTGGAGAATAAAAGGTGCAGGATGACTGTTCTTTAAGCCTCCTAGAGCTTGCCACAATGGTTTCCATTTCCTTATCTGCTTTGAGTCTGTGGAAGGAGGCAGGAATTCTAGTCTGTTACTTGATTATCTGTGCATTTGTTCTAATGGCAGAAATCAATCTTGGGCTGTCAGTATGCACAGAAATGATCTGTTTTTTTCACAGCCTGACTCATTTTCTCTGTCAGGCCTGTTCTTGGGCTATGTTCAGGAACAAATCCTGCTTGTTGATGAGCTGTGTCCTCATCTGTTTACAAAAAGTTCTGCTGTTTTGTTAAGCTTGTAACAGATTCAGGCAGTGTTTGAAACCTGTCTTTCCCTTGATTTAGATCTTTTCATTTTTTTCTCCCATCTAGGATCTGTATCTCCAATGGATACTGACGGCTTTGGTGAGCTCCTTCAGCAAGCTGAACAGCTTGCTGCTGAGACTGAGGGCATCTCAGAGCTTCCCCATGTGGAACGGAACTTACAGGAGATCCAGCAGGCGGGTGAGCGCCTGCGTTCCCGAACCCTCACACGCACGTCCCAGGAGACAGCAGATGTCAAGGCGTAAGTACTGGTAGGGAGGCAGCATTGGTATTGGGTGGCTTGGGGGCAGGATCTGTTTCTTCTTTCCTGCCTTGAATTCAGATGCAGTCTGTGAATGACAGCCACTAGCCAGGTTTTTGGGAATTCAGAAAGGTTTTGTAAACAGGACAGCAGGCTTGGTTTGTTTCCCTGCCTGTCAGGTTTTCTAGCCTGTCTACCTGACCAAGCTATGAGCCTGTATCACAGTGAGAGGTAATCACAAGGCGGGAAGGAGTGAAAGAGCTCTGTCATGCTGAAACTGGTCACAGTAGTTCCTGCTTGAGTCCAGTGACCATTGGTCATAAATGTCTCCCGGAAGTATGTTAATACATATGTGCCCCACAGATAAGTGTTACCATGAAAGCCAGAGAGCACTCAGTGATGAGCACAGTTTTTTTAGAGGATTTGGAAGAAATTGATGAATAGTTAATGATGAGAAACCATCTAAGTGAGGAGTGATTCTGTCTGGTTGTTATCAGTGACCTGGGAGGCTGCTTCTGAAAGGCCTTGGAAATTCAGTGCTTCCTAGCTGATTGTAGAAGAGGAGAGTGGGTGAGCCCCAAGAGAGTGCAGCTGGGGGAAAAGTGCTGACTGACTGGGCTGGAAGCCACTGCTGCCACACAGCTTCAGTTGGGCTGTTGATTCTACAAACATGTGTTTAGGGTTCATGCTATGCCAGGTCTGGACCATCTCTGGGACTACACCATGAATTAGACATGGTTCTTGCTCTCAAGGAGCTTATAATGTGGGGAGTGGGGCAGGAAAAAATCATGCTGCTTTCCTTAAGAAATATGATGTACTCATTACTTACCATATGCTACAAACTGGCTAGACTTAAGATTTTGCTTAATTTTTACAACCATCGTTAGGCTACAATCTGCATATTACAGTTGAGCAACAAAGGCTCAGGGAAGGCAAATAACTGTCTCAGATCACACAGCTGGTGAGTGGTAAAGTAAGGATTCACACCTAGTGGGGTTGACTCCAGAGCACATACTCTTTCAACCATGATCGAAGGGCATGGGAGGATGGAGAGGGTGCTGCTTCTTGTGCCTTTCATGGGTCTGGAAACACACTGAGATTCTGTGCAGAAAATATGGGAAATTGTCAGTCATCTCCTCAGTCTTCATTCCTTGAACTTAAGAAAGAACAAAGTGCTGGTGTGAATGTGGGATGTTGTCTGCTCTAAGCATTTAATAGATGTCACAGGAGTATTATGTAGGAGTGGGCTATGTTCTTGTTCTTGAGAGCTGAATGTTTTGGCTGCTCTGTCGAGTCAGTAAGGATATTGTGGAAATTCTTCTTTAGACCTCCCCAAAATGCTATTTTCTAAAATAGTTAGTTTTGGTTCTGTTGGCATTGGTAAAGGCAAGTCAGAGGAACCTGGGCAGGGATTTTTTACCCTGCAGCCTTTCAGCTGAATGCAGCCAACTGCTTCCCTACACTTTCTCACAGCCCAATCAGCCTTTAGACACTTCTGCTAACTTGCCTTCCCTGCAGGCTCCTTACCTGCTGCTCCTGGCTGCCTACAGTTACCCCGAGTCTTGAGCATGCAGGCTCTGTGCTGTGTGCAAAGATGCTGCTGGAGCGAAAGGCCCATGATGCCAGCTGAGTTGCTATAGTTATAATTTAATTACATCAGCTTTACAGCCTATTAAGAGCAAAAAGGAAAAATGTTTTCTTGGTAACAACTATCAGTCATGTTCCCTTTCTTGTAAATTTCCATTCTTTTTCATCTCGTTCTACCTTAAATTCATTATTTTAGGGAGGAGGAAGTTGGAATGTCAAAAGAATGGTTATAGGGTGGGGCAGGTGCTTAAAAAGAAACCAAAGGGCTGATAACTATTTTTCCATCTTCTTGATAGGCAGACACATAAAGTGTGGTGTGAATATTTTAGTACATACAGGATGAGGGCAGAAGAGAGGATTGAGTAGGAAAAAATTTCTTATATGAAATAAGTTTTGAAAGAAAATTCTGTCTTTAAGATTTTAGATTATAGATTTAAGATTGAAAAGTTTTGTGCCAAATTCGTTTATTGTCCAAATACACCGTTGAATAGTTTTAGAGACTAGATTCGATAGTTTTTTTTTAAATGTGTGTTTTTGATGTCTTAAAATCATTAAATTTTTTCACACATAAAGAAGAGTATGCTTACAACAAGGTGTAAATTAGGGCATTTGCAGCCCATGAGCCACATCCAGCCTTAAAGTTTTATTGGAACACAGCCAGGCTTATTTGTGTTGTCTGTGTCGCTTTTGTGTTACAGTTTCAGAGTTGAGTAGTTTTGACAGAGATCATGTGCCCTGCAAAGCTGGAAATGTTTACTATCTGCTGTTTACAAAGTTTGCTGACTCTTAGTGTAAATAATAAAATGAATGAATGCTCATGTGTACATTGAACAACTAAAACAGAATATTGAGCTGGGTGCCATGGCTCGTGCCTCTAACACCAGCACTTTGAGAGGCTGAGGCAGGTGAATCTCTTCAGGAATTCAAGACCACCTGGACAACATGGCAAAAACCTGTCTACAAAAAATTAGCTGGGCATGGTGGCACACCCCTGTAGTCCCAGCTACTCAGGAGGCTGAGACAGGAGGATTGCCTGAGCTCAGGAGGTCGGAGGGTGCCCATCATCAATTGCATACCCCTCTTTTCTCATTGAAGACACCACACTGGATTTTTCCATTCAGACTCTGAAATCAGACAACCTAATGTATAAAGAAAAAACCAGCAGTCATTTATTCTCCCTAACTTTGTCATCCAAGGTAACCAATGTTATTAATTTGCTTATTTTTTCACATACTTCTCCAGGTTCATGCAAAGCGTATATAAACATTTGTTTTTCCCAAAGTTATACAGCAAATTATAACTCTTTGTGATAATACTATAAGCTGTTGTTTAAGCTCTTACTGTTTCTCAGGCACTGTGCCACACACGTTATATGCATTAATATAATTTATTTTTAAAATAACCCTGTGAAAGTGTTATCTGTATTTTAAACTTGAAAAAAGTCAAATAGTGAGTGGTCAAGCCAGAATTTCAAATCCCACTTAGTAAGAATTCCTCGTATTTGTATGGTACTTTACAGTTTCTGAAGGATAGGCACTCTCCTGATTGGTCTTACAGTGCCCGAGAAGTAGGATAGGCATTTTTTCACCCACATTTAACAGAGGAAGAAACTGAGGCCTGGAAAGGTGATGTTTTTAAGATTTTCAGTAAGTGACAGATGAGACCTGAACTCAGGCCTTCTGACATTTTATATGCTCCCCATGTATGCTGGGAACAGTCCTTGTCCTTTTACTCTCCTGGGACAGGAAGGAGACTCTAACTTCCATGACTTTCTGCTCATGGGGACTGCCTGGCTTTTGGGAATTGAGGTAGATAGAAGGTAGGGAACCTTCTAAGAATTTTTCCACTCTTACAAACTGAAAGTTTCTAGTACAGCCTTTATTTATAAAGTCATCCCTACCCTAGATTCCCTGCCTCCTTCATCAGTTCTTTCTCTCCCTGAATATGCACTGCATAAACCATATACTGCAAAAGCCGCACACTGAACAGTTTCTGCAGGTGTCACTCACTTAGATGAGCTTTCTCTTCTAAGAATTCTAATAGCTAATTTTTAAGTTCTGAGGTTCTCAACCCTGGTATACATTAAAATTGTTTTGGCACTGGATGCATTCTTATGTCTCTCTGGTAGAGTACAGCGCCATGGGACAAAATTTAGACATAGCTAGCAAAATTGACCCAGAAAGCCCACATCTAGGGTTTTATCCCAAATATACACTGGCAGAAACACACACAAAGAAACTTGTGCACAAGGATATTCGTTACAGTGTTATTTGTAATAGCAAAAATTGGTAACAACTCAAAGAAATGTCCATCAATAGGGGAGTAGTTGAATAATGTTGTATGTCTATGTAGTAGAGAATTCTTCAGTAGTACAAAGGAATGAGAATATACAGTAACATGGAATGATTCCAAGACATATTATTAAGTAAAAAATGCAGGGTAGAGAAAAGTGTTTAGTACTCTGTCATTTGTATAACAAAGCAGGTGAAAGACAGCCCATGTTCATGGATTAGAAGACTTAATAGTAAGATGTTAATACTCCCTGAATTGGCCTATGGATTTAACAGAGTCTCTATCAAAATCCCAGCTGGGATTTTTTGCAGAAAGTGACAAGTTGATTCTAAAATCCATATGGAAATGCAAGGGACCTAGAATAGCCAAAACAATCTTTAAACTGAAGAAAGTTGGAAGAGTCACACTTGCAATTTCAAAACTTATTACAGAGTCACAGTAATTAAGACCATGGACTGGCATAAGGATAGACATATAGATTGATGGAATAGAATTATTAATCCAGAAATAAACCCATGTCTGTGATCAGCTGATTTTTAACAAGCATGCCTAAACCATTCAATGTGAAAAGAATAGTCTTTTCAACAAATGATCTGGGGCAGTCATGTCAAAAGGACTCAGAAACCAAGTTGAAGGACTTCTACTGGCTAAAGATGAGATGATTTGATCATCAATTAGGATAATAACTGCATTGGATTGAAACATATCAAATATATTTAAAATGTATGAGTTTATTATACTAAAACAAGACTCATTGGTCATCTTTGGAGAATGCTGGAGAAACAACTCATTATTCGGGGTAATTACATAGTTGATTAAAGGAGTTTCTTGGAATGGAAGTATTTCAGCTAATAAAGATGGAATTAGGATACCACCATTTTGCAACCACTGAGGAGTAAATGGATCTAAGCAATCATCATCAAGACTGCAAATATTTCAGACAGAGATAACCAGGCTTTAAATACTTCTTGATGAAGAGTGTATAGTAATCTAGCCATGAAAATATTGGCACCTTAGTCTTGGAACTTTGAATTTGCAGGAAATCAAACCCTTAGAACTTTGAATTTACAGGAAATACAGAGGATAAAGGAGTCTGTTAAATGATAGCATGGGGAGTCAGTCAGTAAAATGTGTTCTGTAGGAAACCATAGCCTTGCTACTTTGAGTCTAGTCAGTGGATCAACATCAGAATCAACCATGAGCTTTTTAGAAATAGAGACTCTCAGGCCCATTGCAGACCTATTAAATTAGAATCTATATTTTAACAAGCTTTCCAGGTGATTCAAATGCCTTTTTTTTTCTGCTCTGCACTTTTGTCATCACATGTAAGTTTAAAGCTTGAGTAACACTGCTTTCCAAGTTAAATAATTCAGAATCTTCAACAAAGAGATTATAAGAAAAAATGAGATAGAGGGGCAATCTGTAGATGAAAAGAGATTTAGAAGGCGTATTAATCATCAACAAGTAGAGACCTTATTTGGACTCTATTTAAACAAACACAAATTTAAAAGTTATGAAAAAGTTAGGCAATATCTTGGCTATGCTTCAAAATAAGCATATTGGTTGATAGAGAAAAATAGGAATGTAGATGAAACAGGGTTGGCTACAACATGCAGATTGTTGGGGCTGGGTAATGGGTATAAGGAGGTTTACTATTTTTGTGTTTTAATTTTTTTCTATAATAGCTTTAAAAGGGCGGGCCACTACAGTGGCTGTAATAAAAAAGATAGTAACAAGTTTTGGCAAGGATGTGGGAAAAATTGAAATCTTTATACATTGCTGGTGGGAATGTAAAATGGTATGGTTGCTTTGGAAAACAGTCTGGCAGTTCCTCAAAAGATTAAGCATAGGGTTATCATATGACCCAGCAATTCCACTCCTACGTGTATACCTAAGAGAAATGGAAATATATACTCTCACAAAAATTTGTGCAGGAGTGTTCATGGCAACTTTTAAAACTAATAGCCAAAAAGCAGCAATAATCCAAGTGCCCATCCACTGATGAATGGATACATAAAATGTGGTATGTCCATGCAATGGAATACTATTTGGCAGTAAAAAGGAATGAAGTACTAATACATGTTTCAACATGAATAAACCCTGAAGGCATTATGCTAAATGAAAGAAGCCAGTTATCAAGATGGTATATTGTGTGATTGTATTTATGAGCAATATAGGAAATAAGAATAAATAAAATGTTCCTCTTCAAAGCTTTCCTCTTGGTTCATTATGAATAAATAATTTTTTCTTCCAAGGTTAATTTACTGTAAAGCTTTTGCTAATAATCTTAAAGTGGCTGTTAGTCATAATAAAGAAATAAATGTATCCTGTGTTCTTAGTTCTTACACTTTAACCTAGATATTGGCCCTGACATGCATGGACAAGCCTAGGCAGTCTTAGGTCATAGCTTTTTCTGATTTCTTATTTGGAAATGTTATTGCTTCTCTAAGCATTTCTCAAGTTATTTCCACTTTTCCTTTGTTCTCCTCTGCCTTTACCTCTTTAGAAAAGTTTTTAGTTGTTAGCCAGTCAGGTACAGCCTAGACTGTGAAGTCCAGTTGCAGCCAATGGAATCAGGACACAGCAGTACGGTGGCTGCATTAGGTATAAACGGCCCTGCCTCCTTTGTTCAGTGTCCTCCTGTGGCAAGATGGCTAACGGAAGCACCCTTTCTGCATAAAATTGCCTTGCTGAGAAAAATTAAATTTATGTTAAATTAAATTTATATGTTACTTTTTTGTGGCACTGAAAATTTACCTGTAACAAGCAATGTCCAGAATAGGCAAATTTATAGAGACAAAGTAGATTAGTAGTTGCCATGGGATGGGGGAGATGTGAGGAAAATGGAGAATCACCACCTGTTGGTTAGGTGTTGCTTTTGGGGGTGATGAAAATATTCTAAAATTAATTGTAGTGATGGTTGTGCAATTCTATCAATACATAAAATATCACTGAATTGTAGGCTAGGTATGGTGGCTCATGCCTGTAATCCCAGCACTTTGAGGTCAAGGTAGGCGGATCATTTGAACCAGGAGTTCAAGCCCAGGTTGGTCAACATGGAGAAACCCCATCTCAAGTAAATACAAAAATTAGCTGAATGTGGTGGCATGCACCTGTAGTCCCAGCTACTCAAGAGGCTGAGGTATGAGAATTGCTTGAACCTGAGAGGCAGAGGTTACAGAGAGCTGAGATTGCAGCACTGCACTCCATCCTGGGCAATAGTGAGGCTCTGTCTCAAAAAAAAAAAAAAATAACCAAATTGTATACTTTAAATGATGAATTATAAAGCTGGGCACACTGGCAAGCATCCATAGTCCTTGCTACCTGGGAGGCTGAGACAGGAGGATCTCTTGAGCTCAGGAGTTTGAGTCCAGTACTAATCACAATTAATCACAATTGTTGGGAGGAAAGTTTTGACTAGGTTACTCCTGAAGCTGGGTGATTCTAAGGTGCAGTCAAGGTTGAGATCCACTCTTTTTTTTTTAATTTTAAGTTCCAGGATACATGTGCAGAATGTGCAGGTTTGTTATGTAAGTATACATGTGCCATGGTGGTTTGCTGCACTTATTAACCTGTTATCTAGGTTTTAAGCCCCACATGCATTAGCTGTTTGTCCTAATGCTCTCCCTCCCCTTATCCCCCTCCCCAACAGGCCCTGGTGAGTGATGTTCCTTCCCCTCCCTGTGTCCAGTGTCCATGTGTTCTCATTGTTAACTCCCGCTTATGAGTGAGAACATGCAGTAGTTTTCTGTTCCTGTGTCAGTTTGCTGAGAATGATGGCTTCCAGCTTCATCCATGTCCCTGCAAAGGACATGAACTTTTCTTTTTTATGGCTGTATAATACTCCATGGTGTATATGTGCCACATTTTCTTTAAGCAGTCTATCACTGATGGGCTTTTGAGTTGGTTCCAAGTCTTTGATATTGTAAATAGTGCTGCAGTAAACATACGTGTGCATGTGTTTTTATAGTAGAATGAGTTATATTCCTTATGGTATATACTTAGTAATAGGATTGCTGGGTCAAATGGTATTTCTGTTTCTAGATCCTTGAGGAATTCCGACACTGTCTTCCGCAATATTTGAACTAATTTATACTCCTACTGACAGTGTAAAAGCATTCGTGTTTCTCCACAGCTTTGCCAGCATCTATTGTTTCCTGACTTTTTAATAATCACTATTCTGACTGACGTGAGATGATATCTCGTTGTGGTTTTGATTTGTGTTTCTCTAATGATCAGTGATGTTGAGCTTTTTTTCATGTTTGTTGGTTGCATCAGTGTCTTCTTATGAGAAGGGAGACCCACTCTTTTAGAGAGTTAACTGTTTAGGATTATTAGAGGAGACAGGCAAGATGTCTATCTGATATGGCCATCTGGAGGGAAAGCCCCAAGGATGGCAACATAGTTGATCTGGAGGAGACAAAAATCTATAGGAAGGAACCTCTGGGTAAATGTAATCTGTTGCTGTAGTATTTATTGGATTAGAACTACACATGTGAAATCCTTTCTCTTCTTCAGTAAGTCTTAGTTCAGGATAAAAAATTTTAGGTGTTATACCTGTAGGTGTTATGGTTACATGTGCTGCCAAATTCTCTGACTACTTCTAAGTTACTCAAAGTGAACACAAATGTTATCAGTGGGAGTTCTCAGTACTAATTTATAATCCAAAAACAGTCTACAAATTAATTGCACTGTATGTGGTGGTTCACAGCTGTATTCCTAGCACTTTTCGAGGCTGAGGCAGGAGGATCACTTGGCCAGGAGTTTAAGGCCAGCCTGGGCAACATAGCAAGACCCTGTCTCAAATAAAATAAAATAAATACTAAAACAAAATATTGAGTTCCCATCAGTTTCTTTTTTTCCAGAGAGTGTTCTAGATATTAGTGTGACCTTTTCATTGAATAATAACTCTTGCATTGTTACATTGCCCCAGATAAGTAGAAATAAAGCTGGCTATATTATTACCATTTCTCTCCAAAAGCATTTACTGGTCAGATAACAGCCTCCTATATTATTAGACTGGGCAGCATAGAGGAAACCTGCAGGCGTACTGGACATGGTGTTTGGCTTTTGAAAGGAAGCCATGGAGAACTGACCTTGGATTCTGGTATGATTGCCCCTGGACAAATCATTGATCACCTTGAACCCTTAGTTTCCTCAGTTCATGAATGACATTGTACCAGGTTACTTCTGAAACTTCTGCAATGTTCTATAGAGGCTGTAAGTGTAGGATGGTAGTTAAGTGTCGTGCTCTACAACCTGGGAGGTGGAGGTGGAGTGAGCCGAGATTGTGGCACTGTACTCCAGTCTAGGTGACAGAGCAAGACTCTGTCTCAAAAAACAAAAAAACAAAAACAAGGAGTTGTGCCACAGAACTAGATGACCTGCCTCTGCCACTTCCCGACTCTGTGACTTTGGGCAAGCTGGTTAACCTCTTTGTACCTTAGTTCTCTCATTTGTAATTTGAGGATGAATGATAGCATGTACCTCATGGGTTTCTTTACTGTGAAGTGTTTGGAGCAGCCTAGCCTGTGGTAGTAATATTGTTTTATTCTAGACAAGGCTCTCACTCAAATTCAGGCATGATTAGAACTTGAATCTGTTACTACAAATTACAGTGTTTTGGCTCTTAGTCCAGGTCATAGATATCTATGGAAAGATATAAAACAACAATGTATCCGGACAGTATATAGGAAGTTTTGAATTAAAAATACTCTCCAGTATTTGATGAAGCATATTAGATGTCCTAATCCTACTTTTCCCAGTACTTATATCTTCCTATTCTGTATCCTCACATAGGTCAGTTCTCCTTGGATCTCGGGGACTTGACATATCCCACATCTCCCAGCGACTGGAGAGTCTGAGTGCAGCCACCACCTTTGAGCCTCTCGAGCCTGTGAAGGACACAGACATTCAGGTAAGGGCTGCCAAGTATAGGTGGAACCTGGAGCATATAACCCAGGCCGAAGAACCTGGCCCTTTATTAACCAGCTGATTAAGGAATTTCAGTTTTCTTTGTTAGTTTTCTTCTTCCTCAGATATTAAGAGGACAGTAGATTCAGCTTTGGAGGTATAGTGGGAAACATTGGGTTATTTTCAGAGCTCTCTGTGTGGCTGAATTTAAGAAAGCAATTCCAACCTGCACTTTTTAGATTATTATAATTAGGAGAACAGATTTCTCTTTCTTCCTTGGGCTTAATCCAAGGCTCAGAGACATTAGTCGCAAGTTTCTTTTGCTTTTCTTTGCTAGATCTCAAATAATTTTACTATTCGTCTTCCACATTTCTTTTTTACATCTTGCTTGTATTGGTTGGCAGAGAGCTGGGGAAAACTTAGAGTACTATTTACTGAAACCTACTCAATGATTTCCAAGAAGTGTTTGGCTGCATTAGTGGCACCAGGAAATGGTCTAATAGAGTACTCCAGTCTCATTTAACCAAATATGCCACCAGCAATTGATAGCTGTTTTAATCTAATCAGAAACTGACATAAAATTGTTAAGAAGAAAACTCACAGTCTGTTGAGTTTTGAGGAATTGCAACATTGCATTTGCATTAGAGTGAAGGGACAGTGGGACACCATTTTTTTTTAAATCATTAAAAATGGGCAATATTATTTGGGCTCATTTGAGTTAATACTCTACCCCTTACCCTTTCTAAGAACAATTTTAATCCATCTAATGGCTACGTTTCTACTGCATTTATTTCAATTCAGAAACCTAAAACTATTTTGAGTTGAGAGTTGAAGAACTATAGATATTTTTTCCTATTGCTAGTATGTTCCCAAAGTATGGAAATCCAGTTTTTCCAGTTTTATATGCTAGATCATATTTGCCTGTCAACTTATAGATACTTCTCATTTCCATGTAATCTTAAAATGGCATGTATACTTAACTTTTTAAACTTTTTTTTTTTAAGTTTTAGTCCTCCTCCCCCTTACAACTGCTTGAGGCTCTCTATTAGCAAATATGTATAACAGGGATGAATAATCACCGTATATTTTGGGAGCATCCCTAATAATGTGGAACGAAATGGCACTTGCTGAAAGGTTTTTTGTTTGTTTTTAATGTTAAAAATACTAAGAAATGTAAAACTTTTTTACATTTTCTTTGATATTCACGGAGTAGGTATTTGGAATAGTTAGCAGCATTTTGTGATGTACTTCATGCATCTCCAGTGATGTGATACTCCATTTTTTTACCTTAAGTTATTGACAGGTTTATAAATGTATTGAGTCATAATGATCATCTCATCTAACCTTCTATTTAATGGAAGAATACCCTTCTTCCACACTGCCATTAGATGGTTTTCTAACAATGTATGCTTAGTTACATCAAAGAGAATTTCTTAATTTGGAATGGGCACATCAGAGCTTTGGTCCTGTACCACTAGGAATCTTTGAAATTTGAGATTAAGGATGCTTCCATTTCAAAAGTTTACCTCTTGGCCAGGCACAGTAGCTCATGCCTGTAATCCCTGCATGGCAAGAGGCTGAGGTGGGAAGATTGCTTGAGCCTGGTTCAGGACCAGCCTGGGCAACATAGTGAGACCCCCTGTATTTGGTCATTCTTACATTGCTATAAAGACATACCTGAGACTAGGTAATATATAAAGAAAAGAGGTTCAGTTGGCTTACAGTTCTGCAGACTGTACCAGAAGCATAGTACCAGCATCTGCCTCTGGGGAGGCCTCAGGGAGCTTTACTCATGGCAAAAGGCAAAGCAGGAGCTTGCACATCAAATGGTGAAAGCAGGAGCGAGAAAGAGTGGTGGCGAGGGGCAGGTGCCACACACTTACACCAGATTGCATAAGAACTCACTGTCATAAGGACAGCACCAACAGGATGGTATTAAACCATTGATGAGAAATCTCCTATGATCCAGTCACCTCCCACCAGGCCCCAACTCCAACATTGAGGATTACAGTTCAACACGACATTTGGCAGGGACATATATTCAAACTACGTCACTCTGTCTCTACAAAAATAAAAAATTATCTGGGCATGGTGACGCATGCATCTAGTCCCAGCTACAGGTGGAGGCTGAGGTTGGAACATCACTTGAGTCTAGGAGGTTGAGGCTGCAGTGAGTCCTTCCTGTTCCCGGCACCATACTCAAGTCTGGGTAACAGAGCATGACACTGTCTCACAAAAAAATCTCACATCTTTGTTGTGCTGTTCCAGAGTAGCTTCAGAAATGCAAAATGGTCAGTCCAAGATAACTTTTGATTAATTAGGAATTGATCATCTATACCTAAAGTAAAAGTTTAAGAGTTACTAGTTTTGAAATAAGTCCTTTGTCGACTTCATCTTCTTGCCAGCAAAGGCATAAAGGAGAAAATTTAGCTTTGGCTTGATCTGGGGGATCTCTGTTTTATCAATAGGGATTGGAGGTTTTAAGTGATATTGTATGGCTCAGTTGACCTGAGCCACATATCCTTGAAACTTATACACATATTCTTCCCTGACTTCTGGACTTCTGGTTTAATAACCAATTATAAGAGCCAAGCCAGCTTGCATTCTTGGCATAGAGTGATCCTCCTCTTAATTCTCCTCATAATGTGTTGGTTATCCAAGAAGAGTAAACTTGGACAGTTTCAGTGATTTGTCTTTACAAAAGCCACATATACTATTTGATGGACTTTTTTTTTCATTTATTTTAATTGCTTAATTGACATATAATTCACATATCATAAATCCGATGGACTTTTGTCCATCAATGCATTTTTTTGAGGTCTATCAATCAGAGGAGAAATTATTATGTCAATTTATAGGCCACTTAAAGTGCCGTTCATAAAAAGAAAATGCTAATGCATTCTTGGACAGATGCTGCCCAGGACTTTGTACTATCCATTGTTCGCATTGCTTAAGCTTAAAGGCATTTTTCCCATGTATACATTGTCCTTTTCTATTTGGTAAACATTGATTCTATTTCCTTCTGCTTCTAATGGAGCTTGAAATTAATACAGGTTTTTGTTGTTACCATTTTGTTGTTTGTCATAATCAATAATGTTTGTATGCATTGTGAATGCATTTTTAAAAAATTGCTGTGACCAGCAAAGGTAGTATGTTAAAGAAACTCCATTTAAATATATGTATGGATTACACTAGTAGAATTTTAAAATGTTTATTGATTTTATTTTTTGGAAATGGTCATAAAGAAGGCCTACATTTGTGTAATAGAGGTGAAGAGCAATAACAGGACATGCTGCTAAAACAGCTGTACTAGATCTGTTCTAAATGACTTTGTGGTGCTTGGGAGTACGTGTCCTCTTCCGGAGATCCACTTGCTCACTTCTGTCTTTGGAGAAAAAAATATTGAGGGCATATTGCACATCTTTGCTGTGATCTGAACAGACCTAATGTATCATGGATGAATGTATTATATAATAATAAAGTGTAAATTTACATAATTCAGTTATATTCTGGGCTTTTTCACTAGATTGCATGTATATTTCAAGAAGGCTCTGCAGAAATAGCCTGAGTTGGCCATGAAAATGGGGCTACAGTTTCCCAGCATTAGGCTATAATATTTTTAAATGGTGTTAGACTTTCAAAATACCAAAAAGAGTGGAATTGAAATGTTTCAAACACAAAGAAATGAAAAACACTTGAGGTTATGGATATCCTGATTACCGATTTGATCATTATACATTGTATGCTTGTATCAAAGTGTCATGTGTACAACATGAATAAATATAACCATGATGTATCCCTAACAATTAAAAATATTTTTAATGGCATTAGACCATTGCAGAGCAACGATAAATAATTGCCAAACTTACTATGTTAGATCCCTAGGGATGCTGTAACAAAGCACTGTAAACTTGGTGGCCTAAAACAAAAATTTATTCTGTCACAGTTCTGGAATCCTGAACTTTGAAATCAAGGTGTTGGCAGCACCACACTGTCTCCATGGGCTCTAGGGGAGAATCCTTCCTCTTCTAGCCTTCTGGTTGACTCCTGACATTCCTTGGCTTATGGCAGCATAACTTCAGTCTCTTCACAGGTTCTTTCTTGTGTGTGTCAGGTCTACCTTTCATGTCTTTTAGGACACCAGTCATTGGATTTAGGACCCATGCTAAATCCAGGATAATCTCTTCTCAAGATCCTTAATTATATTTGCAAAGGCCCTATTTCCAAGTAAGGTCACAATTACAAGGACCAGGGGTTGGGACTTGGACATATCTCTTTGTGGGACACATACTTCAACCCACTATACTTATACTGCCAGAAATTTTAAAATTGTTATTGTAAATAATGGAACATCTTCAAATTTAACTCCATTTCACATCCATAGGAAATATTGGGATATGATATCCATTGCTGGTGGTTCAGTACTGCAAGTCCCAACTAAGTTTCTGATGTCATCCTCATTATTCTCTTTTGAGCCTTTGGGAAATGAGGGTGACTACCCATTTCTGATTCCAGAATTTAATAGTAGTTACTCTTTCTAAACGTGTTAACAGTCTGTAATGTGTTTTAGAGATTTGTCTAGAGACATTTGTCAACTAGAAACTGTTTGCTTCTTAAAGTATTAAATACATAGTTTTTAAGGTAAGTATAGATCGGACTAAATTTTGGCATTTTCCCAGGGTAGGAGGAACTGCTTGTGTGTGTGTGTGTGTGTGTGTGTGTGTGTGTGTCAGTACCAGGTTGCCCAACCCATTCTTTTTTTTTTTTTGAGACGGAGTCTTGCTCAGTTGCCCAGGCTGGCGTGCAGTGGCATAATCTTGGCTCACTGCAACGTCCGCCTCCCAGGTTCAAGCAATTATCCTGCCTCAGCCTCCTGAGTAGCTGGGATTACAGGTGTGTGCCACCATACCTGGCTAATTTTTGTATTTGTAGTAGAGATGAGGTTTCTTCGTGTTGGTCAGGTTGGTCTCAAACTGATCTCGTGATCTGCCTGCCTCGGCCTCC